CCTACCAGCCTGGTTATTTGTTACTTTGAAATGGAAATTAGAAAGATTGAAAAAAACAACTGTGATCAAATTTATAATTAGCAGAAGGAGGCGAGGTGTTTGGTAAAATACCCACTAGGAAGCTTTCCGGAGCACAATGAAGATGTAATCACATTGATGTTTTCCCCTTTGCAACAAAATAAGAACTAAAATGCCTGCGGGGTGACAGGCTCAGACTTTGAAGGGACATCCAGGCTCAGCAGCAGAGCAGGATCTGCCCTGTGGGTCTCCCCACGCTCTTGTAGTGCAAGGGAACGAGAATTTGGGGGACTCTCCGAGGGTTAGTGTTAACCCTTTGCAGCACCCATCCGTTCTCCCGGGTGAAGAGCAGCCCCTTCTCTCGGCTGTTCGTGCCGCAGATCTGCGCCCCAGCCGGGAGGTGGGAACCCCCAACCCGCCCGGCTCAGGGGGTGCCCAGCGCCCCGTCCCCGTCCCCCTCATCCCGGTCTCACCTTCCTGCCGAACTCCTGCGCCCGGAGCCTCCCGGGGCGGCGTGCGGGGCCGGGCCCGGGCTCCCCGCGCGGCGGCCGCAGCAGCGCCAGGCGCAGGCAGCGCCCGCGGCCCGCCCGCAGCAGCGCGGCCGCCGCCTCGGGCAGCCGCACCGGCCTCCCGTCCACCTCCAGCACGAAATCCCCCGGCTCCAGCCCGCAGGCCGCGGCCGGCGACCCGGGGCTGACGCTGGCCACCCGCGGGGGGCTCTCGGCGGCCAGCTGGAAGCCGAAGCATCCCCGCGGCCCGGGGGGGATGCTGGCGTGCTGCAGCCGGGACACCACGCCGATGCTCGGGGGGACGTTGCCGCAGCTCCGGGCCAGCCCCAGCAGCGCCTCGCGGCCCAGGGAGGACACGGGCTGGCCCTCGATCTCCAGCACCTCGTCCCCCGGGCGCAGCCCCGCCAGCGCCGCGCTGCTGCCCTCCTGCACCCACAGCACGTAGCACGGCCCGGAGCCGCTTATCCGGAAGCCGAAGGACTCGGGCCAGCCCTGGTTGGTCGCCGGCATGGCTGCGACTGGAAAAGAAAGAGGGAAAGAAAGGAGTTGGGATGGTTTTCCATCCTTCGGGGTCGTTCCCGTAGATGCTGCGTGGAGCCCATCGGGGCAGGGGTTGCAGTGTGTGCTGTAACCCTCACCGTGGGAAGAAGTGGCCCAAGAGCCTGTATTTCCTCTGAATTTCCTTCAAATAACAGCTTTTACTCTATCTTTGGCTGCTGGTGGTGCCACTGAGGAGGCCACGTTGGCTGGGAAGGCTGAGGCTATATGTGGCACACTCATGTGTGACCTGGCACAGCCCTGGTCTCACCCGGGGCACCCACCTACCCCCTCTCCCCAGGAGCCTCACTTAGGCTTCTTCTTGTATTTATTTGTCTATCAAAGTTATTAGTTCACTTCTCTGACATGTTACATTAATGAACAGATGATCCAAGGACTTAAACCGGCTTAATTTTAACCAGCACTTCTCAACACTCAATATTTTAGCTGTTTGCAACTACAAAACTGCTGCAAATTCATTAGAACTTGCCAGATCCTCTCAGCTCTGCCAGGATCATTTCTTTGTGCCCTCTCAGTCCCGGGTATGAGCTGTCCTGATGGCAGCAGCCCAAAATGGCAGGATGATGCTTTTCAGCGAAGGGTTTGGACTGGCTCCACGGATGCTCAAGGAGACTTGGGGCACATCAGCCCTGAACATCTGCAGGAGCTCTCTTTGCCCGAGGTGAACCCGGCCAGCTGGCGGGCACAGTGCACTCGGATGCCCTCTCCAAGCTGTGCTGCCCAGATGACCTCGCTGTGGTCCCTTCCCCTCCAACGCTGCTGTCCTGTGGCTCTGTGATGTGTAAGTGCCTGCACTGTCCTCTGGCACTCACCAAAATCATTCACACGTGGTTTTCCTGTGTTTGATCTCAGCTCTCTGTGGAGATGCTTTTTACCCCCTGTTTATTCCATCTGTGTCACTGAACATACATGAAGCACTTAAAAAATAAAACTCAGACAACTTTACCTGGGCAAATGATCTTACAGAGACTGAGACTCGGAGGGGAAGAGCTGAGGGTGAAGCTGAGGGCAAGCCTGGCAGCAGCGGGGTGAAACCCATCTGCGACCAAACCCCATCCCCGGGGCTGCCGAGCAGAGCCCTGGCGGCTCCAGCAGGAGCCCCGTGAGCGCTGGGACGGTCCCAGCGCTGCTGCTCCGGGCTGAGCTGCAGGGAAAGCCCGGCAGATCCGGGGGAGCTGCAGCCCTTCCACCTCGCCGCCCCTCGGCTCCAGCACTTACAGAAGTCCGCGGCCATCCGGGGGCTCTCACCGGCGGCAGCTTTGTCCCACCGAGGGCTCGAAGCCTTCTGGACTCTCCTCCATCACCTCTGGAAGCGCTGCCCGTGTTCCCGCAGGGTTCCCGGGAGCATCTCCCCGTCCCTGCCCCGGGGCCGTGCGGGTGGGTGGCACCGGGACAGAGCGGGCAGGGGGTGCTGCCCCTCCCCGGCCCTCTCAGGGCAGCCCTGCGCCCCTCCAGCCGCTCCGGCTCAGCGCCAGGCACGCCCTAAGGTCTTTCTGGCCTTTTCCTCCCCTAATTAACTTTATTTCCATCTCACAGAGGAGCGCGGGCAGACTAATTGCCGTGCTCGTCCTGGCTGAGCCCGGGGCTGACCTGAGCCTGCAGATCTGGAGGGAATTAGGAGCTGGAAGGAGGGAAAACAGATTAGCGCCCGTGGAGGGAAAGAAATCCTTTACCCACAGGGCAAATCCGGAGCGACAGCGCTGCTGGGGACAGCGCCGGGGCACCTGGGCGTGCGGGGGCCGGCACGGCTGAGCCACACACCGAGGCTTTGGGACTGCAGCCTACACGTGGCTCGCTGCAGGGATTTGGGGGTCCGAGGACTTTGGGGGTCACCAGGAGAGCTGTCCCCAGGCCCTCGCAGGGGGGAGCAGCCAAGCGTTTGGCCACAGAGCCCCCCGCGCTGGCACCGACTGTCCCTGAAGCTGCTATTTCTGATTTTCTCCTCGGCCTCCTCGGCACCGAGGGATCCCAGGGCTTAGCGCGCTAAGAGGTTTTAGGGAATTACGCGTCCTGCTGCGGGAGGAGCGTCTGCATCTCTCCATGGAGCACGCAGTGATCGGCCTCCCCCCGGCTCCGGCACGGGAGGAAACCTCCCCGGCACAGCTGGCACAGCTGGCACAGCTGGCACGGGGCTGGGCACGGCCTCAGCAAGGAGAGCTGCGGGGTCTTCCTCCTGCTCGGGACCTCTGTGGTCATGTCACAGCTTCAGGGGGTTGAAACCCACTTCTTCCTCCTCTTCCTGCTCCTCCTGTCCTCCGCAGCTCCTCTCTGGTGGGTTCTCCTGCACAAATCTCCTTCTGAGCAGCACTCCTGGGGCCCTGGGGCATCTGTCCTCCTGTGCTGGCACTGACACACACAGCTCCTACAAACTCCTGCATCTCCGTTACTATTCCCTGCCTAAATGGTCAAAACTGCAATTATTTCCCTTGTTTTTGTTGCTGTTCAGCCAGTGGGGTAATTGCTTCTTTCCCCTCCATTTTTAACAGACTTTAGCACTTTAAACGCTGACAGTGAATTTTAATCCTTGCAAGCGCTGAGCTCTGGGATCCCACGTGAATGGATGTGGCTTCCATTAAGACCTTCTGCCAGACTTTGGCCAGATGAGACTTTCTAAGTGATTTTCACAGTGCTTGGACTGAATGAGCCTCGTCCCTCTGAGTCTCAGCCTCTGTCCAGGTATTTGCTGCCTGCTTGTCCTTGAGCACAGCCTGTGAGGGCACGGGGGTGGGCCAGCTCCCTGCAGTGCTGGTGCCACCCCGTGTGGTGCCCCTCCCTGCAGCTCCCGGCCTGGCTGTGCCCAGGGACCGTGGCACAGGCACATCCTGCCTGTCCCCCCACAAACAAACCCCCTTGTGCCCACCCCAGCCCCTTCTGTGCCACCCGGCTGGCCAGGTGACATCCAGTGACCCAAGCCAAGCTATTTCTGTACCTGCAGGAGTTCTGCTGTCTCAGTAGGATGGGGGGAAATGGTTTTTTTCCCTCCATCCTCCATCAGGACCCAAGTGTCTTGGGCTGCACTCCAAGACAGCTGTGGAATATTTTGGCTGCATTTCTCCCTCTCATGTCCTGTTTGGTGCACTGGCTTTACCAAGGGAAAAAAGAGACTCTTCCTGAAACTGAAGCTCCTCTCCTGCCTCCCACCAAGGCGATTGATCTCCTCTTGGGCCGAAGCCCCTGGAGCATCCCTGAAGGCTTACCTGCGCTGCCCGAGCTCCAGCCAGCGGCACGGCGGGACCCGGCGCTGGGAAAACCATCCCAGCACTTCGGGAGCCTCCGGACGGTGACGCCGCCACCGGACGAGTTTCTCTGGCAAGTTCCAGGCAGAGAAACCCAATCGGCCCCGGCGGTTTCAGTTGTCAGGGGGACGGAGGGCCGGGCTCAGCCCGCACCCTGCGCATCCCCAGCGCGGCTGGAGGCGGCAGCCGCGGAGCGAGCCCCGCGCCTGGGCCGGGGTGGGACGGGAGGGTCCCGCTACCCCCGAGTGTAACGGGGAATCACCGGGAGTGCGCCCGCAGCTCTGGGGAGGAGCAGCAGTTTTGCTTTGGAGAGTTCAGCGAAGGGCACGGGAATTCCTGGCGGTGCTGAGGAGCGGCAGGGCCGGCGGGTGCAGCACCAGCCCCGCAGGGCCCGCACGGTACCGAGCTGCCCGGGCCGCGGGGCCGCTCCACCGGCCGAGCTCACGGATGCTTCCACGGCTTCACGGGCCGGGCTGAGCCCCCGTTCCCCGCCGGGGCAGCGGAGGGCGCTGGCAGTGCCGGGAGCGCGGCGGCGCCGCTTCCGCAGCAGCGCGGCGGCTCCGAGCGGCCCCGGGGCCCCGGGGCTGGAGGCGGCCAGGGAAGGGAACGGCTGGGAAAGGGGCTGGGGGAGCTGGGGACGGGCTCAGCCCGGAGAAAAGGGGGATCAGGGGCGACCCTGTGGCTCTGCACAGCTCCTGCCAGGAGGGGACAGCCGGGGGGGTTTGGGATCGTTCCCAGGGAACAGGGACAGGAGGAGAGGGAACAGCCCAAAGCTGCACCAGGGGAAGCTCAGCTTGGACATCAGGGGGAATTTCCCCATGGAAAAGGAGCTCAGGCCTTGGAAGTGCCCAGGGAGGTGTGGAGTGCCCATCCCTGGAGTGTCCCAGCAATTCCTGGGGGTGGCACTCGGAGCTCTGGGCTGGGGACGAGGTGGGCACCAGGCACAGCTGGGATGGGCTGGGAGGTTTGGGGATTTGGGGATTCTGTGTTTCTGCCCCCGCAGAGATACACGAAGGGCTGCTCCGTCCCTGGGCTCAGGGAACGCTGCAGGACGGGCACCCAGGGGTCCAAGAGCTGCTCCTCTTCCATTCCAGGCTCGGGATGGAATTCCTGACGCTCTTCCTGCTCTACCTGTGCTCCGTGCTCGCCCTCGCTGCCCTGCTGTGCCTCTGCTCGGGAAGGGAGGAGAGTTTCCTGGCGAGGAGTGCCAACAGGGCGAGCCAGGTAAAGCACCGGGCTGGGCTTCAGGCAGGGAATGAACTTGCAGGCAATGATCAGCTCCCGTTCTGGTAATCCCTGCTTTGTTCTGCTAAAATCACTGCAACTGCT